TCTTATTTTGACTCCATGATGTGGCAGCTTCACCATGGCGACACTTTAGCTTTAATTGTGCCAGTTAAACACTGGGTTGCCATGCAGAATGTAAAGTGGAAATAGCTTCTTAGGATTTCAACCCAGTGATCTCAGAGAGTGACCTTGGCATAGCATCGGCGGAAAGATATGGTGTAATAGCCCATTCCAAAGTCAGAAATACATAGTTTAAGCCACTGCAGGACAAAGGCCTCCTCTGCGTTTGCCACTGCTGCTTTTTTATCCGTTTAATACCGTGTTTGTTTCAAACAGAGAGCATGTCAGATTAGTCTCACAAGGCCACAGACAAAGCAGGCCTGTTCGTGTATTCCTGTATAGTTAGCTTGACAATTATGTGTTTTGAATTTGGGTGTTTTAGGACTTCCTTGCAAATTAAAGATAATTGCCTCATGCAAAATAGCTTCAGTCCAGCCAGACTTCATTTCCCAGGAGGATTACAGATGGGAGACTGTGACATGGTAATGATAGCCACCCACGAGTGTGTGTCTGAATTGAGTGTGGTCAAATCCCGATTTAGGCACAGTGGTCAGACAGAACAATCAAATCCAACTGACTTCCATGCAATGGTAGTTAGGACCTAAAAAGCTGTCTTTGGTTTCTTGTTTTTTTGTTGTCACCGTGTTTCCCGGTACTGGAAAGTGCTTCGAAAGCCACAACAATTGTACTTGATTTATCACAGAATGAGAACCTGGATCTGTTTGAGTGTGGGAGAGAACTTGATAGACGACAAAAAAAAAATCTAAAAAAAACGTAATCATGTAATCTCGTTCAAGTTCAGTCAGTTTATTTGGTACAATGCATATTGTTTGGGGTATCAAAGCCGTGTTTTTCCTGGCTGAAGACACCTCTAGTCGTACTTTTAAAGCTTCTGTTTAACTGCATTTTCAGTATTAGTGTTTAACATTGCAAAAAAAAATAAAAAATCTTCCACCGGCCTCCAGCCCCAGGAGTGTGGCTTCTTTTTGCATGACAAGGCCCAACCTAACATCTGTGAACTCTACATGTTATGTATATTCTGTCGCCAGCTCCAATATCCAACCCTGGAATGGTTTGGCATGTTTGTAGAAAGAGTTCTTCACTTTTCACCAAGACAGGTGCCTCTCCATTCCCCGAACCCGTCTTTGGCTTCGACCATATGGACCATCACATTGCCTTGCTGTGGCCACAGTTAGGAGCTGGACTGACTCAGTAAGGAGGGATTGGCTTGCTTGTCACCAGTGTGGCCTTCCTCGGTGGCTTTTCTGGCACCCTTCCAGAACAAAAGGGTGTCCAGACCTGTAGTCCTGATGGCTAGAATGAAAAGTGAGATAGTCAATGTTCTGGTGGCAGGGTCTCAGAAACTCCCTCTGCTCTTGGACCTTCATTTTCAGGTAGGACGGGAGGTGAGGTTAGAGGAACCAGTGGTTAAATTCAATGTTCCCTCGTGAGATTGCTGTTAGTGCTGTTGATATGACACTTTCTTCATACAAAACTGCATTTTTTTTTCTCACTTTGGCATCTGTTAAGTGAATGGATGGTCTTAATGTTTGGAATCCTACCTGTATCCAGGTAGCAACTAATGGTTTCAAGGTTCTGTTGTGACTAAATGTAGCGTACGAACTTAAGGTTAATGCTCTCCTTGACAAGTTGTATACCCTGTGTAACGCACATGCATTGCATATCTTCATAAAACCGTGGACTGTGTATAACGATGGACCCACCCTCTGGGACATCACCTACGGGTTTCCTGAGGAGTGGTTTTGAAGCTCAGTGTGGTGAGAGCGGCCGTCGCCCTCTTGGCAGCACCTCACTCCATTTAACTTCCAGCTCATCCAAAAATGGGCAAAGAGGACAAGCATAAGCGAACTGCTGTGGCTGAGGCAAGCCACGGACTGTCCTGAACTGTTGACGGAAAGGGAACAATATTGTTATGACTATATTTTCTGCTCTCAAAAGGAGAAGAATGAGGTACAACACGTATTCCCTGCTTCACAGCTGAGGCTGAGAAAGTATGTGCAGGCGGGGCCACATGTATGCCACCACAGGCTGCCTTACGGGTGTGAATAGAGGTGTCTTCAGACCGGATGTAAGTGTGTGATATCACATATGACATTTGTTGTTCCTCATTTGTCTCCTTCAGGGAACAGAGGTTACGATCATAACCTATCATGTTCTGTTTAGAAGGAGTGAAAAAAGGAAGAAAGGTGGACTCTTGTCCTACTTCTCTCCAGTCAGAAGAGGACATGTTTGAAGTAAAAGCCATGGAGAGACACAGGGAAGTGCTCTGGGCCCAGGGGCCAAATGAATCCAGATGTCAGAGCATGTTCACAAGGTGGAGTCGACTTATACAGTAGTTGTTTTTCCTTGTTTAAAAGTTCCGTCGCTTCTTTTTATTCCATTTTTCCTGGCAGTCTCCCGCTCTCTCTTCCCCTTTTCTTCTTTCGTGTTCTTTCTCTGTGTCACTCTCTTGGCAAATAAAAATAAGCTTTTTTAACAAGGACGGAATGTCTTATGGAGTCAATGATCCTGGCATAAACCCTCTGAACGATTTGCATCCAGTTATGGCTGTTGAAGCATAGGAGGGATTTTGAATTTTTTTGTCTTCCTCTCTTGACAAAACTCGTTGCCGTGATATGTAGACGAGACACTCCGCCTCACAGGGAGAAAGATTAAACCATGGTATTTCTGAGCATGATAATTTTATAATAACATTATGTAATGCTGTGAAACCTAAGACTACGGTTACATCTTGTGGTGTAAATGTCCCGTGGCTATTGAGCTTCATGGGCTCGACTGGCAGGCGAGCAGACAGACATCCCACTGGTACCAACTCTGCAGCATCAGAGGCTTGAGAGACAGTTGAACTAAAACTGCATCTTTGCATCTACTCTGCCAATCTTATGCTTTTTTTTTTTTTGTTTTTGTGATGCTCATTTTGCCACTCCCCCTGGCCTGTGTCTAGCTGGGCATCTCTGGAGGTTTGTCTGCCAGCATTCAGCTTTCAGTCTGACTATGACTTGTCGCCCCTTGCTTTACAGTTGTAATCCCTAATAGACCGTTGCTTCCATGGCCCGTCTGCTTTGTTTATACCGCATGGTTTTCAAAACCTATTGCATAGGTTAACAGCTCTGATCACGATGATGGTGTTTTCTGGTGTGTTGCAAATGGGATGTGCCTCTACTGGCTAGTGGGGAGTCCCCGTGTGTCGCAGACAGCGGTCATATTAGTGCAGCTGTTGAGGAGGACATGACTGTTGTTATCCTTCTGTCTGTGAGCTGGGAGGGGCTGGATACACACAAGCACACTCCAACACAAGTACACACAATCGTTTGGTAATGATCTCTGTGCTGAAATAGATTCACCATGGGAAAGGCACGCTCATGAATGAATATGCAAGCGTTAACATCGAGCAGTCTTAATTCTGAGAAACTCACGGTATGAATAATGCTGTTTAGTTTGCTTTTAGTACCACATGCAGTATTGATAGGCCCTGTATGCTAATGCAGTTAATTTTCTGTATAGATGTGTGTTTGTGTAGGTGTGTGTGTGTCTCTGTGTGTGTGTGTGGCGGTAGTGGGGATATGGGTTTTGGCACCCTCTTTCTCCTGTCTCAGTTTCTGTACAGTTGCTACTGCTCCTTCACGTCCTGTCATGCTTTTAGGCTGACATCACACCCCAGAGGAGAGTGTTGCATCCAGTGCACGCATACACAAACTCTTATATATGCACAGAGGAAAATGGACAGAGAGAGATACTCAGGCAGAAGGTTACGCTATTAAGTAGATATAGGCAGTAAAGGTTATGGTCATGTAAAAGGGACAAGCCACTGGTACAATAGAGCCACATGGTACATTTTAAAGAACCCATATTGTGCCCATTTGTAGGTTTGTAAAAAAAACCTGCTCTGATTGGTCAGCTGGCCAAACAACAGAAAGGCGATAATGCTGGTTATGAACACTTACATGAGGATTAAAGACTTTCATCCTCATAACCATCACTACCACATCTATTAGAATGAGCAGAGAGGCATAACCCCAGGTACAGCTAGTGAGGAGAAAACTGGCATTCTCCTGCTTTATTTATTTTTTGTTCATAGGCATGCCCAACTAGCTGCTAGGAGGGCGTCATGCAAATATGTTACATGACGACGTAGATAAATACGGGTAGATTAGCCCGATCTGCAAATGAGGCGCTTCATACAAGTACGGAGCAGTGCTTTCTCTGGGAGAAAATAACCTCCTTTTGGCAGGGAATTGGGGCTTTTAAGTTTAATAAGATCTGTTACATGCCCAGTAAAGCTTAACACACTAAAGGAAAGGGAAAAACCCTAAAAAGGTCAATATAGGGCTGGAGAATATTCAATATTTACAAATTTTCCAATTAGAGTATGTTAAGCAATAAAAATTTGTCAGTAAGCAGTAAAATGGGTAATTGGCTAAACATTATGTTGTAGTGAAAGATGAGAAAATAAAGCCACTTAGTTTCTGTCTGCTGAGTTACTTCACTGCTTAGAAAAAAAGTGTGTCCTCACTAATATCAATGGGCCTTTGCATTGACACAGTTGATTGCTTTGCAGCTTCTTTTAATTACCAGGAAATAACATGAGTAGTGGATGACTTAACTGTTCTTAATGTGTGTTGTCTGTGTTTGACATGTAGAATCTGGAATATACAACATTCGCCAAGGAAAATCCTGAACGATTGCGGTTATCAGCACGCTGCTCAATCTCTGTGTGTAGACAAGCAGAGACAGCCTGTGTAAGACATGCTTGTTGCATTTCCCAGCCCAGATATGTGGATATACTGAGGTCTTCAATCTTAACTGAGTCTGGATTTGCATTTGGAATGTTTTACACATTTCATGGCAAGCTTGTAGATCATGTCATTAATGATTAATTGAAGATTGAAATCAAAATGTACCTTCTGTCTTTGTCTGTCTCCTCGTAACTCTTGTTTCTTTGTTTTTCCTCTGCCCTCTTACAGACATGTTCCAGTACCTTCTGTCCTTCTCTCAAGGCCACCTGAGTTCATTACTGGAAGGATCCTACTCGTCCCTGTCCCGCCATGCCCTGCCCCATGTCAACCAACTCTTCTCCTCACTCTCCCTCTACCTCCGGGGGGCCAACGTCTCCGTGGAGGCAGCAGTCCACCAGTTTTTTAACAATATCTTTCCGCTTGCCTATACGCGCCTTATCAACCCAGGCATCGAGGGCAGCATGATGGTGGGCGGCGACATGGGCGACTGTCTTCGTATGATCAGGCAGGACGTCAACCCCTTTGGGCCTCATCCGGCCGTCATGGCCCAGGAGCTGGCCGGGGCGCTGGGGGCCGGACGACAGCTAGGTCTGGCCCTGGAAGAAGGTCTGGAGGTGATGAACGCTACCGAACATGCCAGCCTGAGCAAAGAGTGTGTAAAAGGCCTCGTGAAGATGGTTTACTGCTCCCACTGCAGAGGTTTGACGCTGATCAAGCCCTGTGTGGGCTACTGTCTGAATGTAATGCGCGGATGCTTGGCCAGCGTGTCAGAGCTGGATCAGCCTTGGCGGAGGTATACCAGCTTGTTGGAGCAGCTAACCCACGCCATGGCCGGGCATCACAGCCTGGAATTAGCCCTGCTAGGGGTCAGGGGGCACGTTGACGAGGCCTTGCTCTACGCACAGCTCCACGGTCCACTCATCACTGCCACGGTGAGTACACACTGGTGAGACATTGATCAGAAGTTTAAATGGCACACACAACGTCCTCCAGACCATTTTGTTTAACATCTTTGTTTTATACATATACTTTGGCAAAGTCTATTGTATTGATTGGAACGCTTTTGCAGGTTGCTTGTGGGTGATGAACAGTTTTTTCCACCAGTGCAAAAAAAAAAAAGAAAAGAAAAGAAGCCTACACACTACATTAATGTTTGTGCAATGCTGAAACTATTCAGAGAAAAATAATGTTTATACAAAAAAGAACTTCAGCCTCTTTCAAAAAAACTACAGACTGAGCTGAGGCTGGAGGAGCAATTTTCCAAAATGGTAAGACGGCTAAAATTCACCATTGTTGTTTAGTTTCTGACTGTAGAGCAATATTATTTCTCATCGACTTTGCTGAAATTGAGACAAGTAAGGGATAAAAACGAACTGGGTGCACTTGCATGCTATGAGTGGTACCATATGCCTCTGGCTATATGTGGTTGTAAGTTGAGGACAGTTTCATGAATAACTGCCAGGCAGTTCATAAAACTAAATACTGCAGTTGAATCGACAATGAAAATTGCACTTTTGTTTAACAATTCGTCTTGGTTTGGTATTCTTATCTTCACAGGATGAGTTATAGTCTACAGCGGATAAACAAAAAATCAATTTAAAGTTGGCAGCTGTGTTGAAATTTAACACAACGTATGGTGACTGTAACACTAAAGATCAAATCTCTGTAATAGTTTCCTCATCTTAAAGTACACGCTTGTGCATGCTAGATGTGATACAGAGACTAGTAGTTTTGTTTGCATGTTAGTAATCTTCTTTGCCATACCATACAATCAGAATTGTCTGTAAATGGAGTACACTGTAATTTTTATTTTTTAAACAATATCCTGCTTTCCCGACACCAAAATTACAAGGTGGGAGGCATGTATGTGGGTGTAAGGTAATGTGAGTCATAAACCATGAAGTAAAGGATGATTAACAGAGATTTATGCGCAACATAACTCTAGTCTCTCGTGTATGACCTCCTTCTCCTGACATTTTAAGCATTGTTGTCAGCTCAGTGTAGGTGTATTCATTGTTAATGTTTTAGACCTCTTGAAGATGTGTCTCCTGCTGATGGGAAGTTTTGGACATTATGCATCTACAACTTCAACAAAAAGTGGCACTAGGGTGCAGTTCTCTAATAGTTTTAATGGCACCACTTGTGTTCAAAGCTCCTTGTAGTCCACTCTGTTTATGTGGAAGCATTAGAAGATGCTGGCTTCACGCCTGAATGAGCACCATGGTCACTTTTCTGTAAAAGTCACGACAGCAATCTAAGTAGGTTGAACCTAGTGATGTTTCCGTATCACTTTCAGCAGGGCAAAAGGCTGAACAGTCACATTGACAGATAGGCACGCACAAACCACATACTTTGAGTTGTGTGAAGTAATTTGGAAAAGACTTTTTCCATATTTCAGTCCCAGTGTTGGTCCAAAAACATCACAGAGAATGCAGAAGACACAGTTTGCGTGCCAGAAACCATAGATTACCTTTCTGGGTCATTCAGCTCTGCACTTTCTCATCTTTTTGCAAACTGAAATGTCCATAAAAGTAAAACTTATTGCAAAAGTAGACAGAACACGTCATATTAATGAGGCTTACCAATAATGAATGTAATTTTGGGGTTTGAAAAATGTTAACAGAAGCTGAAGTTTACAGTTTTGCTTCCAGTTTTCTCTCCACTGAGTTTATTTAATAATAATTGTAAATAACTGGTCAGGATCCAAAAAAACAAAACTTTTGTTCACCTCAGACAGGTGAGTTGTCAGACACACAGTCACAGTTCATAAGTTAAATCATTTGTTACAAAGCAGTCATCCTCAGGTTGAGCTCCATCACAGCTGTTGGGATATTTATATTTCCCTTTTGGTAAAAATAAGTTAATTGCTATCACACATGGACAGAATTTACAGCGTTCAGGAAATTATAAATATGCTAGGCGATTAGTTTTTGGGGCATTTTGTTAAGATTGCTTCAGCTCAGACTTAGTCTTTTGTTTTTTTAGTGCGTTATTGTGCGTCACATATCACTTGATGTATGAGGTGCAGTGGGCTGGGGTTATGTCTGAAGGAAGATAAAGCGACATATGTCTGGATGAAGAAGAGCCGTCACTTTAGCAAATTGATAGCTGACGTATTCACTTCTCAAAAGGGCTCAGGTCTGCTTGTGAACTTTTCCCACGACTGGGCTCCATCTGTTTGACAAATTTACAGTGGGCGTAATCTCCAGGCTCTTAGTAAATTAAACTTTAATTTGGCCTTTTTTGTTCGACTCAACGTACAGATGCAGACTGTTTCACAGTTTAGCAACTAATGTGGTCACACCAGAAGGGAAACGTGTGCTGAGACCAGCTGCACCTGAACATTTGCTAAAACTGACAGGTCAGTTTGTACATTGGATGGACAAAACTAATCTCTTTACCCAACTCCTGGCAGGCGAACAAGTAGGCAAAGTTATGGAGCATTACTGAGATTACTCACTGTATTTTGATTAAATTACTGAAATTTAAGTTCCTGCATTATTCATTAGTGAAAAAAAAAGTAATCACATTACTGCACTGGGCTGTACGGTACCTAACACTGTACTGCCAGACATTTTCTAAAACATACTGTATCTTAGCTTTTTAAGCTTCCAAGCAAATGTGCCTACTTGTGTATTTTTCTGAAACAGATTTTCAGATACTGTGTTAGTGTGTTGCCTGCTAATATGCGCCCGCGTTGGAAACTCATGATCGTCCCATTCACTCTATTTGTGTTGTCTTTTCTCATTATTCCGTAAAAACAGATTACAATGCGGTGTCATTATGTTCACTGTTTGTCCAGCGGGATTGGTGTCAACAGCGCTGCTTGTGAATCTCAGCTTCTCATTATCACAACGTCACTTTAGCGCACAATCAGCATGCAAGAATGAAGTCGCTCTGACAAAAGATGTACACGATGAGTTCACAGAGACCCTTCAAGCAAGGTTCAGCGATACCTAACTACATTTTCTTAGTGCACCAGAGTGAGCTGAAGTCAGAGCTTGTCTGGAAGGTAGGAAAAACACATTTAATATGTACAGCAGCTCTGTTGGAAAATAGTTTGCAGTAACATTAAAAAGCAAGTCATTTGTAGTTAATGGGCTTTAACATGTGAAACCACAGGCATGCTTTTTCAGAGTTATAAAGGAACATCACGGTCCCTGAATGATTCTACGTTAAGCATTTACATAAACCCCACGCAACCAAATGCATAGAAACATACTGTATACACTCATACACACACAGAGACAGAGGAGAGTTGGTTGCCAGGCTTAAAGACTGACCTAATACAGCTATGCTGAGAGAGACCCAGCTTGTATTTCATGTGTGTGTATGCCTGCTTGGTATTCATAGGGTGGCAGGCAAGCCCAGAGCAGAGATCCCAGCATAGGGACAAGTGGGACAGAACTGAAAGGGTTCCAGCTAGGCCATACAAACTAGACCTAGCCAGCTGGAAAAAAAGAAAAAAAGAGTCCAAGAGAATTGTTGCTAGAAAGGGAGGTGGGCCTGAGTCAGACGCTGGTGGCTCCCGGACAAACATGAACATCTACGTTTATTGACTCACTTATGCAGACCCACACACAGATTCCTGTATTTATTGGTGAGTTGAAGGCTGAAACAAACCACGTAAGCGCTGAAAATCGTGACACATTCAGATAATCCAAAGAACAAGTTGAATTCTTGCATCTATGAATGGTTGATGCGAAAGGTGAAGAACAGATCTATTGCTATGTATTACATAGAACCCGTGGTCGCCTTTAAATCAGTGTCTTTATAAATCCTCCGTTGCCTGTTAAAGAAAACTCTCTCCAACGCATAACCTCTGTGTCACCGTAGCAACCTTCACCCGTACCCAAAGTTTAAAACCACTATTTTAGACTGTTTTCTTATTTTTATCATTGGCATCGCGAGCATCGTATTGCAGTGCAAACACAGTGCAAAAACGTGCTTACCTTACTGTTGATTTTTTTTGTAATGTATTCTGTACGTGAAGTCGAGCACAAAGAAGTAACTCTGTTTTCTGCCCAGTCAGAGTATTATATGGAGTTGTTATTAAAGGAATTATTGTGACTGTGTGGTTTTATACTGGGATGTTATCCCAAACCATTCTGTGGTTGCTCTCTCTCACTTTGTGAGCTGCAGACTACACAGTCTCCACTATATGCAGCTATACGTCATAGGGTTGGAAATGGGTCACAACACATATACTGTACATGCACACTCACACACACACACACACACACACGTGCGCACACGTACCCGCTCGGCTCAGTGTGCAGGTATTAAGTTTTTAGTCCTGTAAGGACCCTAGGATAGGTTCTGTTTTAACACATTCCTGCTCTTGTTGAGATGGAGCGTGAACGTGGAAAGGGAAGTGGTTATGGATATTGGGGGAGCCTGGGGCTGGATTATGTTGAGTAGACACAATTAAGAGAAAACTGGAAAATATCCAGTAAAAGTGGCAACTCTTATAGGGCCCCGGTGCAAATGGTAGCGCCATGTTTTTTTTTTTAAAGTGAGGTTTTCTCCTTCTGAATGCTGCTGTGTTGAATTCATCTTAAAGTTTCTCTCTCCAGAGTCAGCTGTGCTTTAGAGGCCACGGACTGCTGTTTATTGACATGGCCATAAAAATGATATGGCTCATTTGACCTGCAGGGAAACTTTATATCTTCTACTTGCTAAAGATGGGAAGGCTCGGGTAAATCTTTACACAGAGAAGCATGTATTCTCTCACACTTTCATTCAGTTACTCGGCTTGCTCACTAAGCTCTTTATAGACTCACTTATGAGAGCATGGTAACTGTTCAGATTAGAGCAGTTTGTATGCAGGTCTACCTTATCCACTTGTTGGTTTTACCCCACCTTCTCATTACAGTCTTATGGAGGAATGATAATAGCAGCCTGGGCCTTTAGATAATGGAAACAAGGGCCA